ACAAAAAAAAAAAATCAAAGAATATAACTTTCTCCATCCTGTCTTCCAATCCCAATCTCCAGAGTCAGTTACTACTTTTACCTGCTACTTCTGGCGTCAGAACTAAGCTTGGTCACTTGAGCCTGAGGCTCACAAGAGCAATGAGCTGCTCCTCTGTGGCCACCATGTGTGGCTTTCTCCCCCTTAGGGAGGTGACTGTTGCCATAGTTTCCAGCTGCCCACACCCTTGAGCTTTGAGGGATCTAGTAATGGAAAGGTATCTCTGTTCTCTTACAACAAACTATTATGCTACATAATAAGTATTTACAATGTTAATTATTGTTTATTTTTACTATGTTACTGCTAGTGCAATAATTATTGTAATGATCACTTAGTATAGTACTGTGCTAAGCATTGTCAATACATTATTTCTTTTCATGCTCACAATAGTGCTGACCACTGTTTTCATCCCCATTCAAAGATGACTAACTTTGGGGGCACTTTCTTTAAATAAAACCTCAATGGGAAGCCTGATATATGAGAAACATAGGGTTGTTAAGCCACGCATGGTGATTCACACTTGTAATCCAACACTTGGGGGCTGAGGCAGGAGGATTGAGAGTTCAAGACCAGCTGGGATTCAGAGTTCAAGACCAGCCTGCTACGTAGCAAGACCTATTTCAAACCACAAAGAGCTAGGATATATAGCTCAGTGGAAGAGTGCTTGTCTAGTTGCACCAGGCCCTAGGTTCCATCTCCAGTACTGCAAGAGGAAGAGGGAGGAAGGAGAGGAGGAGCATAAGGATAAAGATCACAGTCAGGTGCTAGTGGCTCACACTTACAATCCTAGCTACTCAGGAGGCTGAGATTTAAGGCTCACCATTAGAAGCCTGCCCAGGAAGAAAAGTCCCAAGACTCTTATCTCCAATTATCCAGCAAAAAGTCAGATGTAGAGGTGTGGCTCAAGTGGTAGAACACCAGGTTTGAGAGATAAAGCCAAGCAAGAGCTCAAGGCTCTGAGTTCAAACTGGCACAAAAAAAATAAATAAATAATTTTAAAAAAGCATCAGTTCTTAGTATACAGACATATTTATTCAGTAAAGTTATTATTTTTTACAGTGAAAAATCAAAGTTGGAGTAGGATAGGCCCAACACTAGGGGACTAGGAAAGGATTAAATGAGTTGCGATGCAACCATACCTTAGAATAATACATTCTTACAAAAAAGAATTTAGATTTGTCCCTGTGAGTTGACTCCAAGTGATTTTTCATAATAATTTATTGTTCAATGAAAACACAAATACCAAAATGCCAGGAAGTAGACATCATGACCCTTATTTTATAAGAATACAATCATGCTTATAAAAATATCTCTTAGGTACAACTAACTATATTTCAATGTTGTGACACGATCATAAAGAAAGCTAAGGAAGAACTAATTCTAGTTTATTGACATAGGTTATTTGAGTGTGGGAAGAAAAAATTGTTATTTCAGTGAATTTCTCAACCCTGCAATAAAAGATAGCTTCCTGAGTTTTTTCACAATTCCAGAGAATGAAAATGATAGCCATTTGTGTCATTTATTACTGAGATCCAAAAGGGTAATAAAACTTTCTCTCCAGAAGAGAAAGCCAAGTCTTTAGCTCCTGAAGTAGGACCCCAAGGTAAACCCTAGCTGCCCAAAAGCTGGCATGCTATCTCCCTAGATGTTTACACCTCAAAAGGGGTGAAGACCCAAAATCTAGAGGAAACTCTAAGAGAGAAAAGCAGAGATTCTACCCTCCACCCCAAGGCTATGAGGTTGCTAAAATAGATTTTATTACATTCCAAAGAATCAGTGTTGGGATTCAGCCCATGGCATTTCCAAAGAGAACGTTTCAGGAGGACAGCTGATTACTAGTGACTCACACCTGTAATCATGGCTACTCAGGAGGCTGAGATTTGAGGATCATAGTTCAAAGCCAGCCTAGACAAACAAATCCATGAAACTCATCTCTCATTAACCACCAAAAAGTTGGAAGTGGAGCTGTGGCTCAAGTGATAGAGTGCCAGCCTTGAGGGGGGAAAAAAAACACTAAGGGAGAGCCTCCTGGCCCCAGTACTGGCACACAAAAGCCAAAACAAAGAACAAAAATAAGGTGATATTGGATTTGCTTTGTTCTTTTTTTTTTTCTTGATAGGGAGAAGGGACACAGAAAGGGAGGAGAAAGGGTAAACAAATGCAATGATGCTATTCAGTATATACTACGTGGGAAATGATCTCTGTAACGTGGGCAGGGATGGGAGGGGGAAACTGAGGAGAGTAAAAGAGGTGGTAGCATTGTCCAAAAGAATAAATGTACTCATTACCTGACTTATGAAATAGAAGCCTCTCTGTACAACCTTAATAATAACAATAAAATTATTTTAAGTCTATGCACCTGACCACAACCAATTTCACCCCACTGCGCTTGCCTTCCCCACCAGAATCCATTAAAAATAACACTCCCAACCAGATCCAGAGGCTCACACCTACAATCCTAGCTACTCAGGAGGCTGCTGAGATCTAAGAATAGGGGTTTGAAACCAGCCTGGGCAGAAAAGACCCCATGAGACTCTTATCTCCAAGTAATCGATCAAAAAATAGAAGTGGAGCTACGGTTCAAGTGGTAGAGAACTAACCTTGAGCAAAAGAGCTCAGGGGCAGGGCCCAGGCCTGAGTTCAAAGCCCTACGATGACAAAAATAAATAAAATTGTCACTCCCCTAGCATACAAAAAGAAAAGCCTTAAGGATTCTATCCCCAGTACTAACAGAAGATGTGCTGTTTGTTTTCTATTTTATTCTTTTTTTTGGGGGGGGGGGGGAGTGGTCGTGGGACCTGAACTCTGAGCCTGGGCGCTGTCCCTCAGCTCTTCAGCTCAAAGCTAGCGCTCTACCACTTGAGCTACAGCGCCACTTCCAGCTTTTTTCTTTTTGCTTATGTGGTGCTGAGGAATCGAACCCAGGGCCTCAGGCATACAAGGCAAGCACTCTACCACTGAGCCACCTTCCCAGCCCTCTATTTTATTCTTTAAGTCCATGTTCCTAGGATCCCCTCCACTGTTGCTGAGAAGCCAAAGCTAAAAGACACCACCCCCCACCCCCGTTTATTTCGAGGGTGGGAAGTCCACCTTCTCCTCTCCAACCCTCTTGGCCATCCTCCAGAACCCTCTGGAAATGTGGGACTGAGGGCCTTATCTGAGTTGCCCATCCTCCCCTCCCAACCACCTGTGCACTGAAACATCCCCTTCTCCCTCTTATCTAAGGCAGCAGGGGCTGTCTGGAGGGGAGGGGTTGAGGAGGGAGAGGAGATGGGTAGGGTCTTTGCAAGCCTCCTTCCCTCCTCAGACTTGTTTATGTAGATGTGTCTTAAATGAAGCTAACAGTCTGGGAGCTCAGAGATTGCCTTGCCCTGACATCTCTTGAGAGGCCCAGGTCCCATCCCCCTCTTCACACGAAGAGCTCCCTGGCCTCCACCCGCCCACCCAGAGCTGTGGCCCCCAACCACAGCACCCAACCCCAATCACTAGCTAATCCCATGTCCCACTCTCACCACAAGAGGGCGCTCGCTCCACACCTCAAATAGTTGGGCCCTGGGTAATGTGGGTGTGCTGTTCCCCTAGAGAGTTGAAAAGGGCCAAGACTCTACAGAGAAGGTGTTCAGCCCCCGACCCTCTGGCTGTCCAACAGTTTGTGAAGAGGAGGCAGCTAGAGGAAAGTGCAGCTCTCAGCTTTTTGCCGATCCTCACCCAATGGAGGAAAGGGAACTTGACTGCACATGGTTGGGGTGGAGGGTGGAGAGGTGGATAAAAATATGAATGTGTTCTCTACCATCATTCTCTGAAGTCCCAGATCTTTTTCTCCCAGAACCTATGGAGAAACTTTCCCAGCTTGGACAAGGCCTTCAGGGGATGAATGTTGAGCAAATGTGCTGTCACCCAGAGATGCAGACATACATCACAGCTTTCCCCATACCTTCTGTCTGAATAGACTGAGACAGAAAATTGGCAGTAATTCAGATAATTAGTCAGATAATTAGTCAGGTCTTGGTCCGGGGTTGAAAGCCCAAGCATGGCTCCCTGGGATCATCCCCTAATTCATTCTGCTGAAGCTGTAGGGACAGGCTGGGTCAATGCTTGAAGCTCCAGTTGACCAGATCCAGAGACATCCACACACACACACACCCCAACTCCAATCAGGCTCTTTCTGTGAGTACCATATGATTAACATGTTTATGAAGCTGCTAATACCTCAGACCACCATCCCAAGAAAGAGGATCCCATACTTGAAAGCAGGTGCAGACTCCTAAAGTGTGCCCCCTACCTCCATCTGGGACCTGGGAGGCTATAGTAAATTCGGTCATGTTGCATCCTCAGGGGTCTCCAGCATCTTCTATGAGTCCATTTTACTACTCAGTCCACCATATGAAAGTATCATTAGCCCCAGGACGCACCTAGATCCTCCTCCCCTTTCACCATGCCCAGAGCAAAGCACATATTCTGGGAATCAATTAAGACTATCTCTGACCACCAACCCCACCAACCCAGTCCAGGCACTATTCCCTTCTCCAACCCCTCTCTACTGAAGACTACTTGAGTGTTTACTTAAGATGGCTTTGCCAAGAGAAGGCATCTTCCCAATGTTCATAAAGATAGCAAAGGCCTTATTTGGGTGGGTAAATGAGCCATTCTCAGAGATTGACTATGACACAGACATTCTAGTGGCTGGTACAGCACCAGGACAAGTTGGAACTAGAAATAATTGAGGAGCTAGGCGCTGGTGGTTCACCCCTGTAATCCTAGCTACTCAGGAGGCTGAGATCTGACTTTCTGGGCAGGAAAGTTTTACCTCAAAAAAAAAAAAAAGCTGGAAGTGGGGCTGTGGATCAAGCAGTAGAACACCAGCTTTGTACATAAATGCTCTGGGACAGAGCTCAGGCCCTGAGTTCAAGTCCCAGGATTGACACACACACAGAAAGAATTGATAAATCACGACACATGAGTAGATTTGACCCAAAAAAAACTTTATTATACAGTTACCCACCACTGCATTTGACTGGGATAGGCCTCCTGGAGTGCATCTTCAAATTCCCAATTTATTTAAGGGCATCATTGTAGATCAAGGCCAAAGCCCCCAGGAAGGTGACATATTCCTGAAAGTTCACTTCCTGGTCTTTGTTCCGGTCCAGATCATCCATCAGCTTTGCAATTTGGGCATCCTGCAGCTTCTAATGTGTTAGAATAGGAAGTCAATGCTGACACGTACCCTAAATTCTCTCCCTTTCCCCCTTCCACACAGCCCTCTCTCATGCAGGTGATTCTGCCCACTTCACTAAGAATGGGTGTCCATTTGGGGTTCAACATGGTTTTACTTCTTAGCCCCTGCTCTTCACTCAGAATAAAAAAAAAAGACACTGGCTGAAAGGATCTCTATTCCCACCTGGAGAGAATGAGTGTTCAGAAGAATAAGGCAGGTATAACGTGGGAAAAACGCCTGTGAGTTGGACGGGAGGTGGGAAGAGGCGGGAGGAAGCTACTCACAGGGCCGATGGTGAGCTCATTCTGGATCAGCTCCTTAAGTTCCTTCTTGCTCAGGGTGCTCTTGTCACCTTCCCTTGAGGAGTACTTGTGGAAGACGGCCACAAGGAGGCTGATGGCCTGATCCAGGGAGCATGCCATGGCTGAGGGCTGGGCTAGATGCTGGTGACAGAGGGACTGGTCAGGGTGGGGGCAGCAGGAACGCCTCACTTCATACACACACCCAGAATTCACTCTTCAGCATACCTCCACTTCCCCTTGGAGCTTCAGGCCACCCACAGGTGACCAACCAGGGTTTGAAGGGAAGGGACAGGCACACAAGGGGTTAGGAGAGCAGTGCCTGAGGGGACCAGAGCTAAAAAGGAAAAGTGGTTCTCCCGTTCTCAAAAGCAGTCAAAGGGGCTGGGAAGGTGGCTCAGTGGTAGAGGGCTTGCCTCGCATGCATGAGGCCCTGGGTTCGATTCCTCAGCACCACATAAACAGAAAAACCCGGAAGTGGTGCTGTAGCTCAAGGGGTAAAGTACTAGCCTTGAGCTGAAGAACTTAAGGACAGCACCCAGGCCCAGAGTTCAAGATCCACAACCGGACCAAAAAAAAAACTGTCCAAGCCAGAGTCTCCCTGGAGGAGACTCTCCTCCAGGGCCTGCAGGGGGCCAATAACACTCCCAGAACACACCCTCCTGCACCCCACAAGAGTACACTCGGGGAGCCGCCCCTACCTGGAATGCCTTAGCCTGGGGCTTACCTGGCACAACTCTGCCACTCCTGAATCTTCCGGGGGGAGGGAGGGGAAGAGGGAGAGGGGATAGCAAGACTGGGCTCCCAGCTGGATCTAGATGGGGCCCACCAAGGACCCAGACACCCCCTACCCTACCCCACCCCCTAGTGCAGAGACCCAAAAAGCCCCATAGCGTCCCTGCAAGAACTCACCGTGCTAGAAGCAGCAGGGAAGTAAGAGAGAGGTCCGGGCGATGGCTGGCCTGTGTCGCAGTCCGGCTGGCCTTATAGCGGCCAGCATCCGGGAGGCCGGCTCCGGGAGCGCCCCCTCCCGCTCAGGGCCCGCCCCAGCCCCACCCTGCGCCTGCGGCCTGCAAAACACACACACACACACACACCACACACACACACACCACACACACACACACCACACACACACACACACAACACACACACACAACACACACCACACACACCACACACCACACACACACACACCACACACACACACACACACACACACACACACACACACACACACACACACACACCACACACCACACACACACACACACACACAGCCCGAGCGCTCCTCCCTCCTAACTTTCCAGCCTCTCCAACTGTTCCCGGTTAGGTTAGGACCCGGATGGGGGAGCCCAGTGGAGCATGAAGGGACCAAGTGGAAACCAGTGCTGAGAGGTTCATTTCCATAGTTCTAGTTACACCGGAGTTGGGGGCCCCTGTTTCACCTGCCAAAGCATGGATCTGGGGTGTCCTGCAGAGGTTTTTTAGGGTCAACTTTAGAGGAAGGGGGGGCTGCCAGTGCTAAGCAAGATATGGACTGGAAGGATCTAGAACACCCCTCCCCACACACACACAAACAATAAATTCCTTATATCATCAACCAGCTGCTCTCTCCTCCTACTGCCTGGGATTCTGCCCTTGGCCTCCTGTGCTTACACCTGCCAGTGCCAAGCCCTGCAAGCATCATTAACTATTCACCTGGAGTGAAAAACTTCCCCCCCCAAATCCTGAGGGGAGATAAAAGAGGAGAAAACCCTGACAAGAGGAGGCTGCTGAGGAGGAATGGAGGAGAGGAAAGAAGGCTCTAAAGCCAAGATCCCATTTCTGCTCTTTATCCAAGCTACCACAGTGGCCTCCTAGGAGCAAGCTAGTCACAGGTCAGACTCAGTCACCCAACGAGACCCAGGAGCCACACCCCAGCACTCCAGCCCCCTCACTCCCCGGCACTTTCCCTCCCAGCTTTCTCTGTAGTCTGATGAAAGACTTACAGAAGCCTGCGCAACTTCCTTTTTTTCTTTTTCTAGAGTGCAAAACTAAACTAAGACAAGCCTAATGAGCCCCACACTGAGGGGCAACAAATAGGGTAGGATCCCTAGACCAAGAACATCTGTCTGCCCTCCCCTGTTCCACCTAAGGGAAATAAAACACCTTCAAAGTCAGTCCCCCAACATTTGGAGTGGGGGGAAAAAAATCTTTATTTCCTCTGCTGGAAGGGGTTCATCTGGGAAGATCAGGAGAATAGAGGGGCAAAGAGGGTCTATCAGAGGAGCTGCCAAGGGCAAGGGCTACTAGTGATGGTGGAGGAGAGCCCTTGTTAGTTGGTGTCCTCCAGGAAGAAGTCATTGTAGGCCATGCACAGCGTGGTCAGGAACACAGAATACTCCTTGAAGTCGATCTCCTGGTCGCTGTTTTTATCCAGACTCTTCATTAGGTCATCAATGCTGCTCTCCTTCATCTTCTGCGAGCCCCCAGGGAGGGAGAGACAGTTGAGCAGCCCTTCTGGCCCTGCTTTACCACTACAAGGCAGTTTCAAGGGATCCCCAGCTAAGCCAGCAGCCCTGGGAACAGTCTGACCCTCAGCCCACACCCACAGGGACCAGCACCAGGGAGGGGTTAGTGCACTGACTGCTTGCCATTGTCACTCCTGACCACCATCAAAGAGCCAGCTCACCTGCTTCTATGGCATCCCACCAACTATACATCCCCAGACTCCCCGCCCTTCTTCCAATGAGACCCTGACTCATCCCCCAGCATAGAGATCTAGAGGCATCCACTCCTTTCCTGTATTCTTGGCCATCTGCTTCAGTCATCCTGCCCCACACTTAGATTAGAGCATCCGAAGGGTGGGTGGGCGAGTAGGTGTCCTTCACAGGGACCAATCAGACTTTGTGGGCTGTAGGGGATGAGAGAAAAGATCACCTACCTCCCCAAGACTCAGCTCCGTCTTGATAAGTTCTTTTAGTTCCTTCCTACTCAGGGTCAGTTTGCTGCCCTCTTTCCCCGAATATTTGTGGAAGGTGGTCACCATGGTGGTCAGGGCCTTCTCAAGAGGAGTCTCCATCACCGTGTGCAGCTCTGGAGAAGGAGAGAAGATGGGCATGGTCCTCTGCTCCCCACCACCATCACCACTAGCTCAGCACCCCCCAAGGCTCCTCCCTCAAAAGACTAGGGACGAATACCCATGATAAGATGAAAATCCACTAACTAGAGGATGCCTGTATAAGTTATAATGAGAGCCAAAGCACACAGCTCAGCAAAGGAGTGTGAATCTTCCTGCCCCATACAGCTGGGACACTGGTTTCCAGAAACATTTCCTACCTTAGTCACCCTCCTTCCCCCTCACCCCCCCGCCCCCTGCTGATATTGCCGAGTGTCTCATAAAAGTGGAGGACAGGGCAAAGAAAGAGTCCAGGCATTGGAGGTCGCTGGGGTTTGAACTAGGAGATAAGATCTTAGCAGAAAGCAGGAGAGAGGTGATTGAACTTTCCCATCTAACTTCCAGTCTCGAGCCAAGACTGCACCCACTGACTGGCCAGGAGTCAGTCAGGAGGGAAGGTGACATCACCTTCCTCCTACAACTAGAGGTTGTAAAATGGGGGAGGACATCACCAGGATCCTTCTGAGACCTGGCTCCCGAGGTTGGACCTGAATGAGGGGCTCTATTCCAGCAGCACAGCCCTCCTCCCCTCCCCATATCAAGTGAAGAGAAAGCTGAAGATCATGAGTTTCAGATTTTAAAACCACTTCCTTTTAGGGAGGAAGGAAGCCATACCCACGGAACTCAAGCATGACAGGTAAATACTGTGGAGAGTCCTGAGCCAGGAGGAAGAGGTTGCTGGCTCTGACTTCCGGCCCAGAAGACACCCTGCAGTTCTTGAACTTCATCCATCACTCCTGTCCCACATCCCAAATTCTCAGCTTCTGCCACCTCAAGGAGGTTCACACAGACCACAGTTCCATTCAAGGGGGCCTCTAGGTACCTACAGGGGCTTCCTGGCTGGTTCTGTCCCCTCCTCCACTTCCCCTGAGGCAAGTAAAGTCTTGCCATGTAGCTGAGGCTAGCCTGTCTATGTAACCAAGGTCTGGGATTACAAGGGGGAGCCCTCAGGTCTGTCTTCCCAGGGAATTCTTCCAGCCACAATTCTGAATCCTGTGCCCCCTCCTTCTGAGCACTTGCCCCAAGTGCAGGGCCAGGGTCCCCTCGTGGAGGTCACCTCCAACCTCTTCACCTAGTGTGGCTCACCAGAGATGGACTAGTTGATGGGAAGAAAGACTCACCAAGAAGGGAGCAAGCACAGGGAAGCCAAGCCACAGCCACTGTGGCCTCTCTCCCACTGCTCTCTGCCTTTATTCCCTTGCCCTCAGTGCCCAGGAGATTGGGGAGAGACAGGGCCAATGAGAAGGGGTCAGGGACATGAGGATGCTCCACAGAGCCTCTGGAGACGGGGCTGAGGGAAACCCCGCTGCTAAAGTTGCCTTCCTTGAGGGGCACATAGGACTCACCACACACATGAAAACTCATTTTTCCAAACGAAGAATCAGAGTGCCAGAACTAATAGCCAGAGAAACAGGCTAAACAAAAGGAAAGTCAGACTGATCTGGAAAGGAAACGTGAGGAGGGGGGTTAGGTCAAACACAGGATTTCTCCTCGTGTCCTAGGCCACTTTCCACACTGGGATCCTCCCATCCATCCTCTCACCCACTCTTAGAGCAGAGAAGGACACACCTCAAGATGGGGGAAGGTATTTCCTCCCAAAGGCCTAGTCATGGTCACTAGGCAGTATGAAGCCAAAGGTTTTTAAAAAGCTTTTAAATAAACGATTATTCATAAATGTCACTGATGGTAACAAAGAATTGCCAGAGATTCTTGGCTTGGAGGACTGAGAATCAGGAGTCAGGGAGAGATAGAGAGACAGGTGAGGGCCTGGTGTTGGACTAGAGGTTGTAAAATGGGGGAGGAGGTCTAAGTGTATGGTGCAGTGACAGAGAGGGTAAGATTCGGGAAGAGTTCCTATATCCCAGGAACACTCAGGGAGGCTCTACGAAGAACAGAACTGCAATCCCACCCCAGCCTCTGCCTTCCTGGGCCTTCCTCACTGCGCTCTACGCCACTCACCCCCCCCCCCCCCCCCCAGCTGCAAGGCTAGTGAGGCAGCAGGGACTGGTTGCTAAGCAACCAGTTTCCGAAGTAGAAGTGATGCAGGCCCAGGCTCAAGGGAACACCCTAACGTGGAAGATGGGCAGATTGGCTAGAAGAGAGAAAGGGAGGAGGAAAACTTTTCCTGGACCAGAGTCTCTGTAGTCAGACTCCAAAGGAATATGTGAGTCACCCACCCTGTTTCTCTCAAGCTGGAGAGAAAAACAGTGATGACAAAGGAAGCTTGGGAGATCACCAGACCCTCCAGCCTGCAGCAAGGCTTCTTTGCACCCTTTCCTTAAAGGTCCTTATATCATCCAGGCATAGCCTTGAAGTCTAACCCAATTGCACTTACTGTATCCCAGAACCACTGACCCTTATTCTACCCTGAGGGAAAGAAACATCACATCTCATATTTTTGGACATAGCAGGCCGTATGTCCAAAGTCTTATTTCTAAAGCTGTGGCCAGCTTCCATCCTATACCTCACTCGCATCCAGACACTGCCCCGTTCAATCCTTCTGAGATCTCTCATCCTCTTCTGAGAAAACAAGATTCCTAACAATAATTAGTCTCATCCCATGAAACTTTGGGGCAAAGAGAGAGCATTAGAGACTAGCTATTTCATCCGAGTGTGATAGTTCAGAAGAATTGTGAGGTTGAGACAATCCTGGGCAAAATAGTAAGACTCTGTCAGAGAGAGGGAGGGAGGGAGAGAGACAGAGACAGAGAGAGAGAGAGGAAGGGAGAGAGATGATAAGATATGACTTCTTTTTCTTTTTCCTCCCTTGTAATGGGGATTGCACTCAGTCCTTCTGTTTTTAGGTGGTTGCTGTTGTCTTAATAATGTAGCCCATGCTGTCCTAAAACTCCCAGTCCTCTTACCTTGCCCCTCTAGTAGCTGGGATTACAGGCATACGCCACCACGCCAGCTCCAAGAATTGACTAATGTCTTACACTTCTACAAATAGTGCTCCTTTATCTGAATATAGACAAGAAAGGATGAACCCATCCCTGCAGCTTGAAGCCAAAGAGCTAGAAGAGGTGGCAGGACAATGCTTGGTCTTTAAATGTCAGCACCGAGTGCCCACTCTCCTCCCCATTCCTCCTCTGGCTTCAGGACTCTCTCCCTGTGACTCAGCCCCATTGTCCTCTCTCCAGACCCCAACAAGGAGCAGATGTGACCTTCAGTCCCATTCCAGCTGCAGTTTGAAGTCCTGCTGGAGGCAAAGAGATGGGAAGGGTAGTGGCCTGGCCAAGATCCCAGAGCTGGGGCCTTCCAAGCCTCTGGTGGTCCCTTCCCTGCCTGCGGCCCCACCAGAACACACACACACACACACTCATCTCCCACACCCCCCCCCCACCTTCACTAGTACATACTCCACAAATCAAGCTCACCTCCTGGAGTTCCCCCCACCATCACATGATCTGTCCCTCAGCCCCAGACCTCATGCACAGAGTCTCTCAGACCACCATCCCCATAGCTTCAAAATTCTTTATTGAACTTGCTCGACATCATTAACTTGTCTGAAGGAGCCAACAAGATGGCTCATTGCCAGCGGGCAGAGAACACCCGGCCCACCATCTGAGAACCCTTCACTTCTTCCGGGGCTGCTTATCCGGGCAACCTTCGAAGAACTCATTACACATCATGGCGATGCAGGACAGGAAGACGCAGTACTCCTGGAAGTCCACCTCATTGTCCCTGTTGCTATCCAAGTTGCTCATCAGTTTCTGGAATGCAGCTTCATCCGTCCTTTTCTGGAGGAGGAAGAGGCTACAGTTAGAAAGCAGAAGCCCAGGCTACAAAACCCAGATTAGACTAGGTTCCTGTCTGCAGATTGGTGCTTGGGGAAGTTTACAGACACTCCTTTAGAGGCTCAGCTTGTTGGTTTTTTTTTTTTGGACAGTAATGGAGTTTGAACTCAGGGCCTCAAATTCAGTAGGCCTGCTTGCTGAGCTGACCCTCTATCACTTGAGCCATGCCACCAGTCCTATATTTTGCTAGCTATTTTAGAATATGGAGTCTAGGAGACTTTCCTGCCTGGGCTGGCTTGAACCATGATCCTCTGGACCTTTGCCCTTTGAGCAGCCAGAATTACAGATGTGAGTCACTTGTACCAGCTGTAATATTGTGTGTTACTGGGGTTTGAACTCAGGGCTTCAAGTTTGCTGGTCAGGTATTCTACAACTTGAACCACTCCTCCAAAGTCAGAGAAGGGTACCTTGTTGGATGGGGAATCTGCGTAAATGATGGAGTTGAGAGCTGATGGGCTGCATCTTCACCCACAATTGTTCCAATGACCTATTATATAACAGTCATCAATTAATAAACAACACATATTAACAAAAGTAAGATGTTTTTGTTTGGGAGAAGACCTGTAAGTGTGTGTGTGTGTGTGTGTGTGTGTGTGTGTGTGTGTCCACCATTTCTCCTTCACAAACAGACCAATGGAGCGCTAGCGATGGTCTAGATTACAGTTTTGTACACTAACTGCCTTGAGAAGTCACTTAGCTCTCTGGCCTCGATTTTTCTCTTCGGGTTAAGTCATGCAAAGCCCACTCAGGCCCTGCCCATAAGCAGTGGATGGGGGAGAGCGGATACAGCCCTCCTGCTATGGGCTGATGTGCCAAGTGCCACAACCCCTCTACCAGCCCAGCCTCAGAACCAAGCTTCCTGATCCTAGAGAAGGCATAGAGGCAGAGGGCCTGGCCTGTGACCTGTCAGTTCATTCTCAGTCATCTCTGCTGGAACAAGTAAGAGGTAGACATTCACTGGGTATCCACGCCGAACAATGAGAAGTAGCTCTCAAGCCTCCATGGCCCTACTCTCGTGATTAAGATGCAGCTGCTGCTATGCTCTATAATGGCCCGTGCGGGCCAGGGCCACGCCCTTCCTCTTGAGGATGCTCCATAGGGGGGCTTATTTCCAGACAGGACCCACTCACCCCCAGGAAACTGGGCAGCTCCCGGGTCAGCAGCTCCTTTAGCTCTGACTTGTTGAGCTTGAACTTGTCACCCTCTTTGCCTGAGTACTTGTGGAAGGTAGACACCATCACATCCAGGGCCTTCTCCAGAGGGCACGCCATGGCAGCAATCAGGACCTAGGGACAGGAAGAACGGAGGCATCCTTATTTGCCGCACACCAGCAATGTGTTGAAGACCCCACTCCCATCCTCTGGGAGGACTTAAGGAAACTCTGCTCCCCTGGGGATCGCAGAGAAGTAGGCTCTGTTCCTGGTGGGAGGTGTTTCATGGGAAGGTGCACAGTAGGAAATGCATGCTTCAAGCAGCCAATATCTGCAAGGCCCACTGCTCAGGCTCTACAGACCCTGCAGCAGGACCTGCTTGTAGACTTCCCTCAAGCCTGGCCCCAACAACAGCATTTTTCCACCCCTCACTTGGCTCATCCACAACCACAGCTCAGCCCCCAAAGCCCCGCCCTTGCCCATTATTCTCTCTCCCAGCTCTGGGTGCGGTTGCTGGAAGCCTGCCCAGAGGCCTGCAGCGGAAAAAACCCAGCTGTCTAGTGCCCAGTGTCTAGCTTAGGGAGGGGTAGGGCGAGGTACAAGAGGTAAGGGTGTGAGGGGAGTGTGGGGAGGCCAAGCTCTCCTGGGCTGGGTTGCTGAGCACAGGGCAGAGGCTCTTAGGCCACTACCATTCAGAAGCTCACAGATGACTTTGCTTTGCTTTCTATACCGGCCATGCACACATAGACTTGAGCAACCCCACAAACACAAGCCAGTGTGTCCACCCATGACTCAAACACACCAACATATAGCAACAGCACAGGCAAACCCCAACATTCCAGAAACTCTTAGAGCTCAGATCCAGCCACCTACAATCTTGTGTGTGCATTTGGTCTCTTACATGCGTATGTATGTGCATGTGCACATTCATGCGCAGACACATATGCACACATGCACACACATGCACATACACTCCTCCACATTAGGACCCCACATGTGGATCCATTTAGCACATCTGGCCCCCAGCAGCTGCCCCTTCTCCTTCCCCTGCCTCGGCCCCTGACACCCTTTGCATGCCAGTCAGGCCAACACAACTCACCAGACCGAGAGAGGAAGTGCTGAGAAGAGAGGTTTGGGGAGAACCCAGCAGTCTGACCTATTTATACCCACTCAGGCCCTGCCCATAAGCAGTGGATGGGGGAGAGCGGATACAGCCCTCTTGCTATGGGCTGATATGCCAAGTGCCACAACCCCTCTACCAGCCCAGCCTCAGAAGTAAGCTTTCTGATCCTAGAGAAGGCATAGATGGGCCATAAGTGAGCTCCGGTGGGCACCACCCAGTCTCCATGGCTCAGCCTGAGTTTTAGGGAGCTACAGAAAAGGGCAATCTGTGTCTGGGGGTACAGGAACCAAGAAAGTAATCCCACCAGACAGATAAGAAAGGAGAGGCAGGGCTGGGAATGTGGCTTAGCAGTAGAGAACTTGTCTAGCATGCTTGAAGCCCTGGGTTCGATTCCTCAGTACCACATACACAGAAAAAGCCAGAAGTGGCTCTGTGGCTCAAGAGGTAGAATGCTAGCCTTGAGCAAAAGCAGCTCAGGGACAGTGCCCAGGCAGTGAGTTCAAGCCTCCAGGACTGGCAAAAAAAAGAAAAAAGAAAAGAAGGAAGGAAGGAAGGAAAGAAGGAAGGAAGGAAAAGAAAGGAAAGAAGGAAGGAAGGAAAAGAAAGGAAGGAAGGAAGGAAGGAAGGAAGGAAGGAAGGAAGGAAGGAAGGAAGGAAGGAAGGAGAGGCTGGGGTGGGGGATGACGGGGAAAATTATCTGGATAATGCAGCTGGCCAAGAAGTAGATGGGAGCCAGGTGCCAGTGGCTCACACCTGTAATCCTAGCAGCTCAGGAGGCTGAGATCTGAGGATCGTGGATCAAAGCCAGCTCAGGCAGAAAGGTCTGTGAGATTCTTAACTCCAATTAACCACCAGAAAACCAGAAGTAGAGCTGAGGCTCAAAGTGGTAGTTGGCTAGCCTTGAGCAAAAGAGCTCAGGGACAGAGCCCAGGCCCTGAGTTCAAGCCCCACAACAACCAACAACAACACAAAAGAAGTGGATGAGGGAGCCCCACACACCAGTGCTGGGGGACACTCCATCAGCCCTTTTCCCCTTCCCACAGGGTTCCCTGCAATGCCCAGTAAGGCTCAGAATGGAGCCTGAGAAATCAGGAAGCTCTCAGCCCACCTCAGGAGAGTAAAGGGAATAGTCCTAAGGAGACAGCAATCAAGTAGGTACAGAGTGGGGATGGGAATGAGACGTGGGGGCTCAGGGATGGATGAAAGAAAGTTCAGAGGGCTGGGCTGGGTGTCAGGAATGACAGACAAATCTAGGTTGGAGTAGAAAGTTAGGGATGAAATGGAGGCATCAGGATCAAGGAACTGAGTGCGAGTTAACAGTACAAGTTCCTTGGAGCTGCAGCTTCAGATGTGGGGCCTGCCTCAAAGTCTCCTCCTCCCCCCTCCCCAAACACAAAGCACCCCTCCCTGCCTGGGAACAAAAGCCTCAGAGGCCCTAATCCCGTGAGGGTTGCTCTCTGGATTCACACAGCCCCACCCATGCCCACAGCTCCGGCCTCTCCCTCAGCCCATCCGGCTATAAGGACTGGCCTAGGGAAGCCTCACACCCTTCTCAAAAGCCTCAGATGGGGGTTATTCCCTCGAAGACAAGAGAAGGAGACTGAGACCGGAGAAACCTTCCATCCTTCCCTGGACCCCACTCCTTCTGCTGGGCCACTGCAGCCAGAGTGTTTCTACACAGTCTGAAACTACTCAGGTCCTCTGGGGAGCTCTAGCCTCTGCCCTCAGCCTCTTGCCTCCAGTGGAAAAGGCCAGAGAGGGGTAAAGAAAGTTCTTTTCAGGATTCAGCCCCCCCAGATCCAGCTTATCCGCCTGGAAAAACCAAACCAAACCAAGCTGGTGCCAGTTTCTTTTATTGGGAGTTAAATAGGCTTGTGGTCTCATTTGTGCCCACACTGTGAGGCCTCCCGGATCAGAGCAGAGGCCCAGCCCCTCCCGCCCACACCAGGGAGGTAGCAGAGGCTGCCAAATGCTCCACCCCTCCCTAGCTGTGCCTAGCCAGGGAGGTCTCCAAGCCTCCCTGGAAAGATGGGTTAGCACACCTAGGGCGAACATGGCCATTCCAGATGGAAAGGGGTACAGGAGAGAGAAGGCAGGGGAGACACTCCCAAGACCAGCGGCAGAGATGGAGCAGGCCCCTGGCTCCCCAGAGCTGCACACCCCTTTTATAGGAGGGGCTACTCGGAGCAGGGGGGCTCTGGAGGGCAGCCCTTGAAGTACTCGTGGCAGTATTGGCAGAGGCAGGCAAGCGCGCGCACGTACTCGGCAAAGTCCACCTCGCAGTCCTTGTTGGTGTCCAGAAGGCTCATGAATTTATTGTAGTCACACTCCCGAAACTCAGTCTGTGTGCGGGAAGGGTGGAGAGGATCAGAGAGGCAGGGCGGAAGAGGACAGAAGACCCTCCCCTCCCATACCTGTCCCCTCCTCATACTCCTTCCCAACTCACACCCTCTGGGGGAGAGGGCGAACCTGAGTCTACCTATCCTGATAACACACCCCTTTCTATGAGGACACCCCCAACTCCCTACCTTAGTCCCCTCCCCAGGGCCCCTTCTCAGGTCGTTTGCTGAGCACCTGCTCTTGGCTATGGAATGCCTGCTACGCCCTATCAACTCTGCAAGGCCACAGGAGTGACTGCCATGTCATTCTTCGGATGAGGAAACTGAGGCTCGTGCTGTGTCTGCTCCCTTGTTTACCTCCCCTCCCCCACAGTCTCTGCCTCCTTGCTGCCCTCAGCTGGTGGTGCTCCGCCTCTGGTCACTCCAACATCCTACTGATGTCCCCTGATGGGAGCTCACCGGGGTGCAGTTGGGCAACTCCTTCTGCAGCAGCTCCTTAAGCTCCGACTGGCAGAGCTTGTACTTGTCCCCGCAGCGCCCCGCATACTCCTGGAAGGTGCACACGATGGCAGCTATTGCCTGCTCCAGGGGCCGAGTCATCCTCACTGTCACAGAACAAGAGCGTGACTCGTGTGGGGCAGAAGCCCAGGCCTCTGTCCTCGATGTTTCCCACAGACCTGTCCATCACCACACTTCAGACCCCGCCGCAAGCTCCTGCTCCTCTGAGCAGCCCTCCCTGACGCCCTCCTCACCACCCCTCACCCAAAACAACCCTCCCAATGCATCACCTCTCTGTCCCTTGTTCCTCAACATCAGTGTGCACTCCTCAGGGGGGAAATATCCACCCACCACCCACAGTGGGGCTTCCTGAGGACATCTTGACTCCCTACCAGGTTTCCTCACAACACCCAGGAACATCTCAATCCCCCACTGGGAGCCCCACTAGGAGATGCAGCCACTCCTTTTGAGGCCTGAGGCTCCCTTCCATAGGAGCTTGCTTAGGAAGCCCTAGCCTGGGCTCTGGAGGTGGGTACTAGCAAGAAGGATCATGTCTGAGAAGAGTCCCAACACCTCACTGTGCCTCCTACCCTGGTCTCAAGAAAGCGACAGCTAAAGGAAATAACTCAACTTCTCTGCCTTTCACTAGTTGTGCAGCACTGCCTGAGGATGGCTCTCTCAGTGGCTCAGGTGCCTTATCTGTAAAATCACATCACAAGCCTAGTGCTGCTGGCTCACACCTGTAACCCTAGCTGTTTGGGAAGCTGAGATCTGAGAATCATAGTTCAAAGGAAGCCCAAAGAAGTCCCTGAGACTCCTGTAAGTCTGTCTGTGCGTGTGTGTATGTCTGTGTGTGTCTGTGTCTGTGTGTCTGTGTGTGTGACTGTGTGCTGATACTGGAACTCCATTTCCAGCTTTGGAGTGGCTAATCAGAGATAAGAATGGAATTGTGGCTCAAGTGGTAGAGCACGAGCCTTGAACAAATAAGCCAACCAAGAGTGCAAGACCCTGAGTTCAAAGCCCACTACCAGCACCAAAGAGAAAGAGCAAGCTAGGGAAGGAGGGGGGAGGAGGGAGGGAGGGGAGAAAGGAAGGGAGGAGGGAAGGAGGGGGGAAGAAGGAAGAAAGGAAGGAAGGAAGGAAGGAAGGAAGGAAGGAAGGAAGGAAGGGGAAGGAAGGAAGGAAGGAAGGAAGGAAGGAAGGAAGGAAGGAAGGGAGGGAGGGAGGGAGGGAGGGAGGGAGGATAGGCCAGAGATGGACCAGCTCAGAGAGCTACCAACAACCTGCCCCACCCTGGGGCCACCCTCCTGCCCAGAAGGCTCTGTACAAGGGTGCCAGTTGGTAGAGGGGAAATCTTTCCCAGAATTGCCCCCTTCAATCCAATTCCACTGTCAGGTGCCTTATCTGCCATTCTGGAATGGTGCCTCCAGCCTGGGGAAACCCTAAGCAGCCGGGAAGGCAAGAGTTGTTTTCATGGGAGCTCGGTGACTCACTGATGGCTCCCCAGGGGACGGGAGTCCTGCAACACAGGGCTCAGGGCCAAGCCTCTCCCCAGCTATTCCCCTCGGCTGGGAGCAAATGGCCAGCATGATTATGGCTGGCAGGAAAGTGAGAGAGGGGATGGGGGTGCCAAACACTGCTAATTCTTTGTAACAGTTCAAGAGTGGAACAAGCATTGGCATTTCCAGGAGAGGAAAATGCCGTGGTCTCAGAGGACGAGGAGCTTCAGAGGCATGTGGTGTGTGTGCCCTTCTGGGCCTTGCCAGCCTGCCTGGCGCCATCACTATTTCTGTTCCAGAAGCTCAGGTCCTAGAGATGCTTTTCTCCTGCAGCCCTGACCTGTCTCAACCCATCCCCAGAAATGAAGCAAGGAGACAGGAAGCGAAGGACTACAATGGAACGTTTATCCCATTGTCTCCACCAGAGAGCCAGACCTGGGCTCTAAACTACTTCTAACAGTCCAAACTTCTAACAGCCCTTCCTTGTACAAGGGAGTCCCTGAGTCCACCAAATCTGACTTCTTGCCCGCTGTCACCTGCTAGCATCCTCTCTCTGTCCCCAGGCCCACACCTGGAAGGCTAGCTGTTAGAGATCCCCTGACAGCCCAACCATCCCTACTCACCACTGGTGTTGGCGTTTCTGTTGTAGAAGCCTAAACACAGGGTGTCCCTATTTGTAGCCTCCCAAGGGATGAAGGGAGTAATTACTGTGACCCAAGTAGGTCAGTGCCGAGGCTGCCCCCAGGGTCCTCTACCTCCTTCACTGGGCAGCCGCTGTTATAGGCCCACCCACCCACCTACCCACGCACACATCAAAGCCCATCATGGCTTCAGATAGGCACCACTCCCCAGGATTCATTTCCCTCTTCCCCTCCCCCAGAGTTGGGAGCTCCTGCCTGGGCCCTTCCAGCAAGGCTAGAGGAAGCTGAAGAGATACATTTTAGTATTACTTAGGTTGGACCCCAGAGAGTCCTTTCTGTAGACCTTGAGACCTTGGAGAGTACCCTGTTGGACCACACACACACACACCCCATTTATAGATGAGAAGATGGGACAACCTCCCTGTCCAATGGCCACATCGCTTGAGTGCTTGGTTGCTTTTGACTAACAACCACTTACTTCCCCAGGGGAAGCTATTCCAGAGTGTCTTGGAAGCCTAGAGGAAGATACGGTCCTTCTAGGGGAGACTCAGCATCCTTGCTTCTCCACCCCAAGTGATATGGATGCATATGAGCTATAGATTCATGTCACTGTGACTTGTGGCTGGGGTTTCTTAGTGGCTCGTTTCTTCTTTCCCTATTCTTGCAGCCTGGGGGAAGGGGAGGTTCCTTCCTCGGTCTTTTGGAATAAACATGTAACCTTTTGGGTGTCCTGGCATCATGAGAGGTCTCCCACTTGTGTCAGCTCCTCAGACGAGCACTGGCTTTCAGCTTCCATCTTTCTTATTCCCCAAGCCATTAAAGCCAAAGCCAATGTTGAGCCTGGCCTGGCCAGTACCCTCAGGACCTGAAGGATCCTACTACCTTCCCCCGCACACCTCACCCCCTTTGCTCACTTCCAGGATTCTGCTTTCACTTAGATTTTTGGATGACCTATTCCTTAATGCCTTGTCATTTTTTGATGCTTTGAAAAAGATTATTTTAATTCCATCCAGCATTTCCTGTTATTTTAGGCTAGCATCTACACAGATCACCATAATACCAAAAATGGACATCGCTTCATACACTGCTCTGCTCTCTTCTTCTCCCTTAGTTTCTTCATTTCACAGAAAGACCCAGAGGAAATGGGAAAGGGAAAAGGAACTTGGCTCCCAGACCAGTGAAGAAGTTCTAATGCCACGTGGACAGCCTAAGAGACCTTGGCCTTGCTATGTGCCCAGCACTCAGTCTTGACTGGGCCATCACCTCTTTGAGTGCCCACCCGCTATGGGTGAGGGGAGTGAGTAATGGAGATGGAAGGGAGGGGAGGGCTGTGATTATCTCTGTTTTATAGCAAGGAGTTATGGGGAGTCCAGACAGAGGACAGAGAAGAGTCACAAGCAGAAGCAGGGGCCAGAGTGGACAGGCAATTAAACTGGTTCTAGGTCAATGACTTATTCCCCACTGTGCGCTCCTACTCCTACCACCAGCCACCTTAAGCAGGTCACCTTTACCCTCAGAGCTTCATTTCCTCCTCTGCCAACAGCGGAGGAGAGCAATAATTATCCCCTCACAGGGTGGTAGTGGGGCTCAGAGGAACTAATGCACACAAAGCTGGTGGAATAAATAATGCTAACACGTAACTCAGCATAGTGGGTCAAGCCTGTACTCCTATCGACTTGGGAGGCAGAGAGGAAGGATTGCTGATTGAGACCAACTTAGGCAAAAAGAAGGTCAAGAGACTCCGTCTCAACAAATGGCTCAATGGTTCACCCCTGTTATCCCAGTTGTAGGGAAAGCACAAGGCCTGCCCCTACCTTCCAAAATAACCAACATAAAAAGGGACTGGGAGGGGGGAAGGATTGGGTGGGGGGGAGGGGGGAGGCTGGGAAGGGAGGTGAAGGGTAAACAAAGGAGGAGGCTGCAATGCTTGGTAAGAAATGTATGTATTAGCCGGGCGCTGGTGGCTCACGCCTGTAATCCTAGCTACTCAGGAGGCTGAGATCTGAGGATCGCGGTTCAAAGCCAGCCCGGGCAGGAGAGACCGTGAGACTCCTATCTCCAATAAACCACCAGAAAACCGGAAGTGGCGCTGTAGCTCAAGTGGTAGAGTGCTCGCCTTGAGCTGAATTGCTGAGGGACAGCGCCCAGGCCCAGAGTTCAAGCCCCATGACCGACAAAAAAAAAAAAAAAAAAGAAATGTATGTATTATCCTGCCCATGTAATTGTAACCCCTCTGTACAGTATGTTCTCAAATAAAATAAAATAAAATTTTAAAAAAAAAAAAAGGGACTGGGAACATGGCTCAAGTGATAGAATGCTTGCTTAGCAGGTTCAAGACCCTGAGTCCAATCCCCAGTACCACCAACAGGGAAGAAAAAAAGGGCTAGATAAGTATTGACACCATATTAACTTTCCCAAAGCCACTAACTAGTGAGTGAGCCATTCATTATCCATACATCCATATCCAGGTGTTTCCAGGCTTCAAGGGTATCACCTTAAACAAAACATGTAAGGCCCTGTTTTAAGGAGAAAGAGACATATAAGGCCTTGTTTCTAAGAGAAAGAGACAGAAACAAATGAATGTTTAATAAGCTGGAAGCACCCAGCACCCTGAGCTCCTGAGTCCACATCCTTATCCACCAGCCTTTAATATTTCTGGGCCAAAATGCAGCTCCTTGCCATGTATCAGCACCTGTTTGCTCACAAAGAGAAAGATGGGAAAGCCAGACTGAAGTTGCAGAGCGGCAGGAATGAAGCCCGGAAGGCGATATCCAAGGGGCAGCTGAGGAAACAGGACAGTTTGGGTACAGACACTTTGGGGTTGGAGGACCCTCATGGAACAACCCTTAACAAGCTGGATCAGGGGAGTTCCACCATCCTTCCTCATGTCCTCTCTTTACTTGGTGAGAACCTCAATTTCCTCACCTCTGAAATGGACATGAAGATTCCTAAGAATCCAATG